CCACGTCACTCCCAAATTTTTTTTGATATGCTTCCTGAGATTTTTGCGGGCTCATAACCCAGAAATTGCAGAAAAGGGGTGTGGCGATAGCGCTGCCCCCAAATTTTTTTTTACAAGGCTAAACTACACTTTCAGAAGTTTTTAAAAATTATGCCAATTATGTACAGTATAAAACAAGTTTGCACATGTTTATAGCCCATATAAGAAAAATATCGCGATCAATTTCAGAGGGGAGGGGGGAAAGCCGCTGTAAAGTGCGCGGTTCGAAATCCATTCTCAGCACAGTTGCCTCTCAAGAAGCCACCATAAAGAACGGGTTGTAACAAGCCTATCTTGCCAACATTATTCGAACATAATTTTGATTTCTCTGTTGCACTTTATGTGCGGTGGTAGGAACCTTTCAGTGAGGAGGTCAATGCGAAGCGTTGTTTCTACAATTTTGTAGCTTGAGCTTGAAATAAGCGTCATTAGATATCGCGACTTACTATAGCAATGGTTGGGGCATTGCTTTGTTCCCGCCACCATTCAAGTATCACCTCTCCATTTGTTCACTAGTTTTTCCATCTGCTCTTCCTTAACGCTATTTAAACTTTGACATTGTTTGGATTTGTTCCAGTGTATGGTCTTTATTTGGACTTCAATCGAAAATAATTTGAAGACGAAATTTCGAAACGAATACTTACATCATGCGCCACACTTCATCCAAATCCCCTTGATCCGCTTCATCTTTGGCTATTGATCGAATCAGTGAACTGAGCGATAGCGAAGTGGATGAAGTGGATCAAGTTGATCAAGCATACAACCGCTCTGTCATTGGGCATTTCACTGCTTTGACCGGCAAATGGTTGGAGAGAATAGAATGTGGTGCGTGTTTGAAGGCAGCGTCCCGGCTAAAAGATGGATGCCGAATTTTTGTGGCGATGTTAAAGTAGACTCCCTACCGAAGCGATGATGAAGTTCGGAGCGAAAATGGGGATCTACCAAGCCTGAAATTTGCTATGAAAGCTGCCCGGATCTTACGGTAGGCCTGGACGTCGCCCACACAGCGATTTCGAACTGCAGGGCCGGAGTGCGCATAGCGCACACAGTCATGAGCGCAGGATGTCGCAACGACTCTGCGTCCCTACCTTGCATGCCTCTCGTACTCGTTCGAGCCTACTGTAACCGCCACCGGGCCACTTGGTGGGGGGAGGGGGGAGGCGATTTGTAGACTTCGTAGATCCCTTTCGCGCTGCAAACTTCTGTCGTCGCTTATTTAGGGGATCTACTATTAGATTACTACCAGAGCCACATACTTCCCAGTCTAGTGGGACGCTGCCTTCAACGTGTCTTCATAAACTCGATTGTCACATGGCACCAGCTGTTTTTGTACTCAAGAAAGAATTATTGATAAGATCAATGAAAACATAGCTAAAAGGTGTTGATAATATCTATATCTTTGGTAGAAATAATGAACTGTTAGATATCAAAACTTTCGTTGAACCTCCGCTCATGCGGGTACCACAAAAAGGGTGAGGGACTATATGTCGAAGATAGGCTCCACGCCGCGCGGACAGGTGGTGCGAATATGTATTGTCCTTAAAGGCAGTGGACAGGCAAAATGGACCCCTGTCAGATTTTGGTAGTTTCGGGTAGTGGACCCCCCAAGTACACCATAGTCCAACCTCACCCTGCAAATGATGTGCTAAGTTCCGAAAAGAAGCTTCAAACTTCCACCAATAACGCCCACTTAATGGAAGTGGGCGGGGCTGGTGGAGTTTTGAAGCGCTTCTTTCAAGACTCAGCGCATGAATTGGAATGTGGGGTTGGGGCTACGGTGTACTTGGGGGGTCCACTACCCGAAACTACCAAAATCTGACAGGGGTCCATTTTGCCTGTCCGCTGCCTTTAAGGCCTCGAGCAGAGTTCAAGTGACTTCATCGCGACTTTCTCCCAACGAGACAGAGTTACGAGCCCATAGCATGAATATCATCTTGTATTTCGCTTGTGGTGGTTTTCCGACACGACTAATTGTGAAGAACTATCACAACTGAAATGCAAGATGACTGGCATGCAATGAACTCGTAACAGTGTCTTTTCGGGAGAATTGTGAGGCAATGAAATCGCGCTTCTGCCCGAGGCTCAACATGTATAAGTGCTGTTTGTCGCAGATGTCCGCGTGGAACCAACTTTTTTGGCGACATATAGTTTCCTACCCCCTTTACACTTCGAACTTAAAGGCACCGTCCACGCAAAATTTCGACCTCCATGTTTTTGCCGTTCCAGGGCCTTCTCATACCCCTGATTCCGAATATTGAGTTGAAGGTCCGCGAAAAGCATGAAAAACCCCCGTTTTCAGAGCCCGCAAAGCGATTTCTTCGGTACGGTGATTGGTTGGACGCGCACGGATGGGCGGGACGAACGTCACGCCCACTCCGAAAGGGGAGGAGCCAGCGTCGCGAACGCGGCCTGAAGCGATTTCCGAAGCAATTTTCTCGGTTCGGAAGCAACTTCAGGCAGCGCGAGTTGGGCAATCATACAGTTGGGGGCCCCGCATCTGCTAGGTAATATAATCTTACCAACCCCAATTTGGGTGGACGGTGCCTTCAACTCCCATTTTGTCTCAAAGGCCTTCTTGCGCTGTTTGTTTGCATCCCTAGTATAACTAAACTAAGTCTCTGTGAGCTTGTGGAAGTAAAACGATTTTTAAAATGAACGGCAGTTTTATAGCGGTTTACACTGAACAATGAAAACTGCAGCTTAGAGCTGCATACATGAGCGTCGGTGTTAGGAAGGAAACCTTGAAAGCTTCATATCTTAAAGGCAGCGTCCGGGCAAGAACGAAAGTGTAGAGTATAGGGGGGGCCCGTCCTGGTAAGACTTTTGTCCAACTGGCAATGCACCAATTTGCTTCTGAAGCGAGAAGACCGCTTCAGAAGACCGGAGCGACCGGAACGCCCCGGCGACCGGGGACGAGTTAGTTCGACAAGCCAGAGTGCGCATACCGCACACAGTCAAGACGTAGGGTCCTACAAAGACTCTGCGTCTTAACCTTGGTGGTAGGCAACAAAATTCAAATTAAGAGCTTCTGGAAAAGCCCGTTCTCGACGTTTTCGTGCTCTCCGAGCTGCATTTTGCTGAAAGTCAGCGGGAAGCATAAGCCCAGGTAAGCGAAAAAATCTATCCGAAATCTTGGCCGGACGCTGCCTTTAAAGTTCCGGAGATTCGGAGACCTGCTTACCTAGCTCAAGTTTTATAATTTTAAATTTTAAAATTTTAATTTAAAACCCAAGCACAATGCATTACTGTATATGCCGCGTTTTGAATGTGTTGTTTGATCGTCGAGAACCCTACTGGTCACTCGTCTTTCCTTTAGAGTCATTTTTCTTTTTAGACGCTAATGAGTGACACTGCAGAGTCCGTTTATCTAATCAAAATTGTGAGCCGTATGACAATGAATTACAGTCGTTTATCAAAAAATCTCTACGTTTTAGTAAGTAGTCTGTTCTTGTCGAAGATATGCTTGACACTGTCGGATTAGATAGATAGGCAATCTCATTCTTTTCTCGACTTTTCACCCCCCCCCCCCCCCCCCCCTCCTCCCTCCCTCCATAGAAAGAGGGAACTGGCTTTGAAGACAAGACTGTGGGCCGTTAGAGATTATCGAAATCATACTAGAAATGAAAAAAGCGGCTCACACTACAGAACGCTTTGGTCCAATCTTCAGGTGAAAAAATTGGAAATTTGCAAACGTTAGGCATTATAAAGTCAAGATCTACGATGCTTCCGGATAGGAAGCTTCCATTTAAGCTGGCTTCACGTTTCGCCCGAAATGTTTATACGGTCTCTATATGATAATAGGTTTGTGCGCACTGCATTGACCTAGAGGTAATGAAGGTTCTTGGAGATGGATGATCGGAGAAAAACACAGATATATTACTGCTCTCTTCCGGCGAGGATGTACTTGCATACGAACGTAATGTTTCACATCCATCCCTGGGCCAACCAAACCTTCCCCTGTGGAAGCGAAAATGCTCAAGCAAACAAAAAGAACGAAGCCGTGACTTCGTAATAAGTTGACCGCTCAAATCATTGTGAAAGTTTCCCGAAAGTACCGTAACATCAGTAAGTCGATGAACAAGCGAATTTTGCGCAGAAAAGAGACCATAACTCACTTTTTCTTACGCCTGAATTAATGATTGGTAGGAACCGCTATGACCCCTGCAAGAGGAATAAGATTCAGAGACATGGATAAATGGTGTCAAATCGTAGCTCATTCTATCCTTTTTAGGTCAAGTTGTGGTCATGGCTCCTCCTTATCCTGCACAAACACCGCATGCTATCGTATATAGTACAACTCCTGTGACTGCCATGCCTTCGGTGGAGAGAGAAGATGACACGGATGCTCCGGAAGCTCCAGTCTATCCTGCTGCATATGTAGTGCCGATGAATGCAGCTGGATCCTACCCGCAACAAATCCTTGTTCCTGCACCTTTCGCAATGAAAGTGTATTATTGGATTTCTGCAAGTATCACATAAAGAGCTGCATACAAGTATGCAAAAATTTTTCCTAGCGAGTTAGAGCTACAGGTGCAGGAACAAGGATTTGTTGCGGGTAGGATCCAGCTGCATTCATCGGCACTACATATGCAGCAGGATAGACTGGAGCTTCCGGAGCATCCGTGTCATCTTCTCTCTCCACCGAAGGCATGGCAGTCACAGGAGTTGTACTATATACGATAGCATGCGGTGTTTGTGCAGGATAAGGAGGAGCCATGACCACAACTTGACCTAAAAAGGATAGAATGAGCTACGATTTGACACCATTTATCCATGTCTCTGAATCTTATTCCTCTTGCAGGGGTCATAGCGGTTCCTACCAATCATTAATTCAGGCGTAAGAAAAAGTGAGTTATGGTCTCTTTTCTGCGCAAAATTCGCTTGTTCATCGACTTACTGATGTTACGGTACTTTCGGGAAACTTTCACAATGATTTGAGCGGTCAACTTATTACGAAGTCACGGCTTCGTTCTTTTTGTTTGCTTGAGCATTTTCGCTTCCACAGGGGAAGGTTTGGTTGGCCCAGGGATGGATGTGAAACATTACGTTCGTATGCAAGTACATCCTCGCCGGAAGAGAGCAGTAATATATCTGTGTTTTTCTCCGATCATCCATCTCCAAGAACCTTCATTACCTCTAGGTCAATGCAGTGCGCACAAACCTATTATCATATAGAGACCGTATAAACATTTCGGGCGAAACGTGAAGCCAGCTTAAATGGAAGCTTCCTATCCGGAAGCATCGTAGATCTTGACTTTATAATGCCTAACGTTTGCAAATTTCCAATTTTTTCACCTGAAGATTGGACCAAAGCGTTCTGTAGTGTGAGCCGCTTTTTTCATTTCTAGTATGATTTCGATAATCTCTAACGGCCCACAGTCTTGTCTTCAAAGCCAGTTCCCTCTTTCTATGGAGGGAGGGAGGAGGGGGGGGGGGGGGGGGTGAAAAGTCGAGAAAAGAATGAGATTGCCTATCTATCTAATCCGACAGTGTCAAGCATATCTTCGACAAGAACAGACTACTTACTAAAACGTAGAGATTTTTTGATAAACGACTGTAATTCATTGTCATACGGCTCACAATTTTGATTAGATAAACGGACTCTGCAGTGTCACTCATTAGCGTCTAAAAAGAAAAATGACTCTAAAGGAAAGACGAGTGACCAGTAGGGTTCTCGACGATCAAACAACACATTCAAAACGCGGCATATACAGTAATGCATTGTGCTTGGGTTTTAAATTAAAATTTTAAAATTTAAAATTATAAAACTTGAGCTAGGTAAGCAGGTCTCCGAATCTCCGGAACTTTAAAGGCAGCGTCCGGCCAAGATTTCGGATAGATTTTTTCGCTTACCTGGGCTTATGCTTCCCGCTGACTTTCAGCAAAATGCAGCTCGGAGAGCACGAAAACGTCGAGAACGGGCTTTTCCAGAAGCTCTTAATTTGAATTTTGTTGCCTACCACCAAGGTTAAGACGCAGAGTCTTTGTAGGACCCTACGTCTTGACTGTGTGCGGTATGCGCACTCTGGCTTGTCGAACTAACTCGTCCCCGGTCGCCGGGGCGTTCCGGTCGCTCCGGTCTTCTGAAGCGGTCTTCTCGCTTCAGAAGCAAATTGGTGCATTGCCAGTTGGACAAAAGTCTTACCAGGACGGGCCCCCCTATACTCTACACTTTCGTTCTTGCCCGGACGCTGCCTTTAAGATATGAAGCTTTCAAGGTTTCCTTCCTAACACCGACGCTCATGTATGCAGCTCTAAGCTGCAGTTTTCATTGTTCAGTGTAAACCGCTATAAAACTGCCGTTCATTTTAAAAATCGTTTTACTTCCACAAGCTCACAGAGACTTAGTTTAGTTATACTAGGGATGCAAACAAACAGCGCAAGAAGGCCTTTGAGACAAAATGGGAGTTGAAGGCACCGTCCACCCAAATTGGGGTTGGTAAGATTATATTACCTAGCAGATGCGGGGCCCCCAACTGTATGATTGCCCAACTCGCGCTGCCTGAAGTTGCTTCCGAACCGAGAAAATTGCTTCGGAAATCGCTTCAGGCCGCGTTCGCGACGCTGGCTCCTCCCCTTTCGGAGTGGGCGTGACGTTCGTCCCGCCCATCCGTGCGCGTCCAACCAATCACCGTACCGAAGAAATCGCTTTGCGGGCTCTGAAAACGGGGGTTTTTCATGCTTTTCGCGGACCTTCAACTCAATATTCGGAATCAGGGGTATGAGAAGGCCCTGGAACGGCAAAAACATGGAGGTCGAAATTTTGCGTGGACGGTGCCTTTAAGTTCGAAGTGTAAAGGGGGTAGGAAACTATATGTCGCCAAAAAAGTTGGTTCCACGCGGACATCTGCGACAAACAGCACTTATACATGTTGAGCCTCGGGCAGAAGCGCGATTTCATTGCCTCACAATTCTCCCGAAAAGACACTGTTACGAGTTCATTGCATGCCAGTCATCTTGCATTTCAGTTGTGATAGTTCTTCACAATTAGTCGTGTCGGAAAACCACCACAAGCGAAATACAAGATGATATTCATGCTATGGGCTCGTAACTCTGTCTCGTTGGGAGAAAGTCGCGATGAAGTCACTTGAACTCTGCTCGAGGCCTTAAAGGCAGCGGACAGGCAAAATGGACCCCTGTCAGATTTTGGTAGTTTCGGGTAGTGGACCCCCCAAGTACACCGTAGCCCCAACCCCACATTCCAATTCATGCGCTGAGTCTTGAAAGAAGCGCTTCAAAACTCCACCAGCCCCGCCCACTTCCATTAAGTGGGCGTTATTGGTGGAAGTTTGAAGCTTCTTTTCGGAACTTAGCACATCATTTGCAGGGTGAGGTTGGACTATGGTGTACTTGGGGGGTCCACTACCCGAAACTACCAAAATCTGACAGGGGTCCATTTTGCCTGTCCACTGCCTTTAAGGACAATACATATTCGCACCACCTGTCCGCGCGGCGTGGAGCCTATCTTCGACATATAGTCCCTCACCCTTTTTGTGGTACCCGCATGAGCGGAGGTTCAACGAAAGTTTTGATATCTAACAGTTCATTATTTCTACCAAAGATATAGATATTATCAACACCTTTTAGCTATGTTTTCATTGATCTTATCAATAATTCTTTCTTGAGTACAAAAACAGCTGGTGCCATGTGACAATCGAGTTTATGAAGACACGTTGAAGGCAGCGTCCCACTAGACTGGGAAGTATGTGGCTCTGGTAGTAATCTAATAGTAGATCCCCTAAATAAGCGACGACAGAAGTTTGCAGCGCGAAAGGGATCTACGAAGTCTACAAATCGCCTCCCCCCTCCCCCCACCAAGTGGCCCGGTGGCGGTTACAGTAGGCTCGAACGAGTACGAGAGGCATGCAAGGTAGGGACGCAGAGTCGTTGCGACATCCTGCGCTCATGACTGTGTGCGCTATGCGCACTCCGGCCCTGCAGTTCGAAATCGCTGTGTGGGCGACGTCCAGGCCTACCGTAAGATCCGGGCAGCTTTCATAGCAAATTTCAGGCTTGGTAGATCCCCATTTTCGCTCCGAACTTCATCATCGCTTCGGTAGGGAGTCTACTTTAACATCGCCACAAAAATTCGGCATCCATCTTTTAGCCGGGACGCTGCCTTCAAACACGCACCACATTCTATTCTCTCCAACCATTTGCCGGTCAAAGCAGTGAAATGCCCAATGACAGAGCGGTTGTATGCTTGATCAACTTGATCCACTTCATCCACTTCGCTATCGCTCAGTTCACTGATTCGATCAATAGCCAAAGATGAAGCGGATCAAGGGGATTTGGATGAAGTGTGGCGCATGATGTAAGTATTCGTTTCGAAATTTCGTCTTCAAATTATTTTCGATTGAAGTCCAAATAAAGACCATACACTGGAACAAATCCAAACAATGTCAAAGTTTAAATAGCGTTAAGGAAGAGCAGATGGAAAAACTAGTGAACAAATGGAGAGGTGATACTTGAATGGTGGCGGGAACAAAGCAATGCCCCAACCATTGCTATAGTAAGTCGCGATATCTAATGACGCTTATTTCAAGCTCAAGCTACAAAATTGTAGAAACAACGCTTCGCATTGACCTCCTCACTGAAAGGTTCCTACCACCGCACATAAAGTGCAACAGAGAAATCAAAATTATGTTCGAATAATGTTGGCAAGATAGGCTTGTTACAACCCGTTCTTTATGGTGGCTTCTTGAGAGGCAACTGTGCTGAGAATGGATTTCGAACCGCGCACTTTACAGCGGCTTTCCCCCCTCCCCTCTGAAATTGATCGCGATATTTTTCTTATATGGGCTATAAACATGTGCAAACTTGTTTTATACTGTACATAATTGGCATAATTTTTAAAAACTTCTGAAAGTGTAGTTTAGCCTTGTAAAAAAAATTTGGGGGCAGCGCTATCGCCACACCCCTTTTCTGCAATTTCTGGGTTATGAGCCCGCAAAAATCTCAGGAAGCATATCAAAAAAATTTGGGAGTGCGTGGCTGACGTGGCCACGTACATTTATCAGAGAAAAATTTTTATCGTTCTTCCCCCCCCCCTCCGAACGGAAATCCGGGAGACGGTCAAGAGGCGCGATTTCTCCGGCTGTCACTAGCTCAAAAGTCCCGTTTAGTGCTATGCGAGTCCTCAAAAAGTACCAGATAAAGTGCATTAGCTTACTATCTGTCTGACATTACTAATTGCTGAGTTTGGCGGCTTTTGCCGGAATATGGACCGAAATACTAACGAATTTGTTCTCAACTGCATTTTCATGGGTTTTTGACCTTCAAAGTTGCTGTTTTGAACCGATTCCAAGGTATTAAGATTGAGCAACCCATGCAACAATCTGATACATCTCCTCTTAAAACTTGAATACTTTTAGAAAGTCATAAAACACTTATTATGTGCTATTTGGTGTCCATCTGGCAATAAAAATCGCGCCTCTTGACATACACCCTTAATCGGAAATCCTGGGTGCGCCACTGCTTTCTGCATATATGTTATTTATACTTTGTTCTTTCTTTCTGAGCCATACACGAGATTGGTAACTTATTTATTCACTCCACGGCTAACGTTTCGGCAAATCGCCTTCGTCAGAGCCTGTAAGGGACAAAACGATTTGCAGCCGATTCGAACAAGTATCTTTACAGCTGAACAGACGAAGCGCTAAACCTTGCTTTCGATCACTAATTCAGCTGCACGCACAAGCACGTACCCTCTGGATTACGACGATACTTCC